GTTCTGATATGGAAGTTGTTGCACTGAAGCAATATAAAAAATACATTATGAATTCTACTATGTTTGGTGAGTTTTCTCAAAGTCTTGGAATAAGGAAAAAATTACAGTGGTGTTTTTCACTGTTCTAGAGACAAGTTTGTGAAAGGAATTCAAGCGTTTTACATATGAATGCTGAAAAACCAGAATATTAACGGAAGTCCAGTTTGAACATATCAGATTTTGAAAGAGTGATGCTGAAAAAGAACTTACAGGATTTTCTGCATTAGTGATGGGAATATGGCTTACGTAGCCTGGTTGGAAGTTAGTCTGGGAGGCTGCCAGTTAAGAACACAGTTGTTTGTGGTAGCCTGAAAAGATTGAGTTAATTTAGGAAATTTGGCCTAGGAAGAGGGCTGCTTAACTTGAAGAACTTGTTCTGCCTTAAAATACCCCTACCACTCAAAGCTTCCACTGGGGGATGAAATTTCAGAAATTGTATATCAATGTTACAGTTATTTAAACGTATTTCAGTTTTGTAGGACCTAAACTTCACAACAATTTTCTTTCCTATGACCTTAGAGTTTGTAAACCTATTTCTGCCTCTTTTCCCAGTATCTGAGTTTGCTTTGCTACACAAGTTCAAACAGTGTATAACAAGCACAGTAACTACATGATTATTTACTTAGGGCTTTGTCTTTGCTGAAGTCCTTTCATTGGGGCTTATGTGCAGAGTTGCATGTGCTTGGTTCAGTAAAATGTGGTTTAGCAAAGTGCAGTCCAACAGTAAACATACAGAAAATTTTATCTTACTTTTCCTCTCTACAGCACAAAATGATAATGTTATATAGTTACATCACTAAACAAGGTAGTTATTAGATCAGAAATCCCTACGCTGTATTATTTTGGGAAGGGTTCTTCTCGGTTTGCATGTGGCTTTTTCCCCCCTTCTGAATCCCATCTGCCTCACCTCAGATAGCAGCAGTGATTTTTCCATATTGCTAACAAGTATTTCCCTTTCTGCTCCTGGTATTCTCAAAACACTTGTCCAGTAGCGGTTCATAAAACAACTGTGCTCACTTTATCAGCAAATCTTCTGAGAACTCCTTTTTAACTCCAGTTGAAAGTTACCACTGTATTATTGTAGAGTCATATGAACAACATTGAGTTTCCAGTGCATCTCTAGGTAATTAGGAAGAAATTGTCTGAGTTTCAAACTACCTTGGAGAAGACTACAACTGGGAATTAAACCCATGTACTTCCACAGATAAGGTGCACGCCACAATTGCCTTTCTTCCAGGGAAGCATGTAACCTACCATACGGAAGGCTCAGGGTGCATCTAAGGGAATCCTTGAGTGTATCCCCCCCAAATGGCCCACAATGCAATAGGACAATAAGCTTTTTTTTTTTTTTTTTTGCTTATTAGAGTGGCCCAGTGTGTCAAGAGCTGCACTGGAGGCCCTCAGCTGCAGTGCTCTTTACTCGTGTGGCAACAGCATCCTCCCTGAGCTGCAGCCAACGCACTCAGGTTTGCTCCAGCATTTAGCAGTGGTATCCTACAGCTAGCTCTATGCTGTGAGGAGCTTCCTCTAAGACTGCAGCTGCCTGGGAAGGAATTGCTTGAGCTTCCAGCTGCCTTGCAGGTGCCTGCACCTGAGGCAAGGACTCAAAATCACAGCCTCTGGCAACCAAGGCAATAGTCATGCTACAGGTAAATCTCAGCTCCAGCCTGTACTTGGGAATTTCAGCCTGCCTGTATCTGCCCTTCCTTCCCTTAGGGAAAGCAGCAATAAGGCCATGATTTGTTTTGTTTTGTTTTGTTTTGTTTTGTTTTGTTTTGATCATCAGAATGTCCAAGAAGGTTCAAGTACTTCTTTGAGGGCCTCAGGGACAGGTTCAAACCCGATGCTTAGAGGAACTCTGCTCATCTCTTGCTTAGGGACATTGTGACAAAGTGAGGCCAAACCAAGCAGTGCTTGGAGAGCAAGACCTAGGACCCTGGCATTTGATGCCTTCAAAAGCTGTGTGGCTAGAAGTCCCACTTGCCTCCCAAGAAGGCTTCCTCCTTTTTCAAGGCGAAACTAAAACTGCTAAGTAACTGGAAATGAAGAAAAAGAAACAAACCAAAAAGAAACCCTCTGCCACCAATGAAAGTGGGAGGCTAGACATTAAGTATAAGAAGAGATGAACACAGGACTCGGGCATGGAGACATGACAGTGTTTTAGCCACTCTGCCACCCAGCTGAACTCTGCTGGGGCTCTTGCTACTGCTGCCTTCTTGCTAGGCTCCAGAACACAAGGGAATTCCTGGAAAATGGTATCATTCTTGGAGGACAGAGGGAGTCAAGCCCATTCCCTTCCAGCACCAATGTCTTTTATGAAGATGTCAGTGCCCCTTACAGTAGGACCTGCCTGGGAGACAATGGGATCAGAAGGTTCCACCATCTCCTCTGAGCCCCTAAAGGGCTGACATTGCCTTGTGAGAGATTTCTTCAGTTTGTCCCCCGGGGTTTCCAGATGAATCTCTGCTTGTGACCTGCAGACCCAACAGCTCTTGCTTAAGAAACAAAATGCTGCATAGGATCAGGTAGGACAGGTCTCCATTTACTTCCAAGAGGGTTGTGGGAAGGAGAAAAAGTGCTGCTAACAGCCACTACTACTCTCTTTGTAGGGATACACAGTTAAAGCTTCTTTCCTTCCTTTCTCTCCAAAAGACTACCTGTGGATTTCTCTGCTGGAAAAAGTTTAATCTGTTCAATTTTGTCATCCAGTTCCAATGGAAATACAGGTGTGAACTGAACTGCAAAGTTCTAAGGTGACTGAGAGTACAGAAAGGAGTGGAGGTTTGACACGTACAGTTTGACCTGGAACTGCCAAGAACTTGTAAATAAGAGTTCTCTGACAGCACCTGCTTGGGAGCCTGCTTATGGGCAGCACTGACCCAGCACCAAAACTGAAGGGGCTGCTATAATCCAGAGCACTCTAAGGAACACCATCCTATGCATGCATGTAAATTCCTGTCAGAATAATTTTTTTTCAATGCTTAGTAAGAGCATGCAAGTGTCTGTGGGAAAATACCAGCATTCATTCTTCTCAGAGGTAAAACCCTCTACTTGATGAATTACAAACGCCCTTTTGGAGGCAGCTGGCTTTTTTGTGTCTGAAGTAATTTTACATTCTTAGCCATAGACTGCCCTGCAGTGGCGAAGCCAAAATCTGCAGCCTTACTGACTTTTACACAGGATCTTTTAACTTCCTTATCTAGAAGTAGTTTGCCCATCACTAGAAGGGACAGAAAGAGCCCGTGCAAACTACAGAACAAATGAAAAAAATTAAGCAAAAGAGATTTTAGTCTTCAGTGTAAATATAGTGTGCAGCAAAATGTCACTACTGGCTTGGAATATTTTATCTCTTTTTCATAGGAAACAAGGCAGATTTGATCACACCTTGTATCTGTTTGCCTCCAGAAGCTATTTGCTGACTTCAGCCAAATTTAACTGCAAGAATTAAGATCTCAAAGACAGCTAAATGTCAACAGATTTTGAGAATGGTGGTTTTTGCAAACGACTCAAGGAAATGTATGGCTGTAGTGTCAGCACAGAAATTGTTAGATAACAAAGAATCCACAGAGGAGAGTGACCTTGTAAATACCCCAGGAGAAATGTCTCAGTCACATCTCACAATGAACCTAGAGACAGAAATCCTTACAAACCCATACTAAAGCAGAAACCAGGCTTCATTAGTTCTGGAGCTTGCTTTGTAAAATGATGAAACTTCCTTCTTCTTAGATCATCAACCTCTCCCCCTCCACAGAAATTAGCTCTCTAATCATAGTATTCTAAAGATGCAAAATTTCTGGAGATTCATCTTCTGTGCATTCCTACCAGTGTCTGCATTCTAAGCTACAACATATTTGGCAGGGCTAGTAGTAGTACAAAATGGCGCCACCAATTCTTTAGGTAGCAAAGATGCTTGTATGCAGGTTGGCTGTGGCTTAAGCAGTTACTTTAAGTTCTCAGAAGGGTAAAGCACAATTGGTGTTTATTAACAGAGACAAAATAATACCAAAAGCATTTTTCACACACAACAGAAGGTGTGGATTACCCTCATTGTACTTCAGATGATTCAAGAGAGGTGTCCATCTCTCAGCTCATCTCCTTCAGCTCCTCTTACAGTAAGATCAAATAAACAGGCACTTTAGAATGCAATTCACCTAACCTCCTTTGGATAAGTCCTTTGTTGTGAGACAAATGAATGTCGAAAATGGCCATTTCTCTCAATTTCCTGTAGAGGAAGCCTAGGATTACTGGCTCACAGAGGGCATGTGTTTTGCAAATGTTGGAATTTGGAGACCTCTTACTATAGTACTAACATCCCTCAAGCACTGTGAATGAACTTCATATTCTCATAGCTGAGGGACTACTTTCTTAGAGAAAATACATAATTGTGATGAACTGAGACAGTTCTAACATACACAGCCCTGCTAGAATGAGATCTGGTGCTGAACTAAAAGTTTCCCCAAGTCATTTGAATCACTTCATGACGCATTATTCATCTTTGGCTTTGTTCTTGCAGACAGCATCAACTTCTGTCCCACTTTACACGTTGGGTCCTCCAGACAGTGCCTTCTGATATTTCAGTTTTTAAGGAGCCAGAAATAGATACCCCCCAAATTTAGAAAATATGTCAGTTGACTTCCTATAACTTGAAAAAGAAGTCTTCTCTTTTAAAACTCAGGCTCATCAAGACAGCACATGAATAAGTACAAAACCCATGGTTTTTTAAATGTGCTTTTAATCATTGAGAGAAAATAAGCTGATTATAAAAGGACCCAAAAGGCTGTGCACTTGGAAGAACACAAACTTGTGTTCTTATTTTGTGCACAAATAAATAGAGCACTGTTAAAAATAACCAGAGAACAAACAGGATACAGTAACTGGGAAAAACAAAGTTCAAAAGTAGTCAAGGAAGATGAGAATGGTGCATAGTCCTTTTAGTTGAATGCTGTTAGGTTTTTTCCCCTTCATTTTGATGTTAAGCTGATGGCCCTCTTGATACGGTTCAGAGTGCTCGCCTTGTCATTTTCTTCTGTGCTCTGCAACTCACTGGATTGTAAGCATTCATGGTCTTGACAGCTGCAGCTTTCCACATATATATACTTATGGGAAATTGAATGCCCAGTGGGGCATTTCAGTTCCACTTCCCTCACAGTAGTCCTTGATTCCCTGCAGCAGGAACAGCTGTGCTCCATAGAATTGGCATCAGCAGAGTATCTGTTAACGTGGAAAATGGCAACATTACTCTGTGCCAGAAGCCAGTATACAGAGGAGAAGGTGAAATTAGGTACAGAACCCCTGTGAGAAGTTTGGAGTAATATGTAGAAGAGCCACCGTTGTGGCTGATGAAAGTGCTAAGCTCATCTGACAGAGCAGTGGTTATAACAGTATGCTTTTAAAATTCATTGCATTTGCTGAGATTAGTATCAAAGTCCTAGTAAAAATACCCAGTGAGTTTAGGAACTCAGCTTCCTTAGATTTCTCTCATCATCCCATGGCTACAATGCCATCACATCAGTCAATTGGCTACAAGGGCTACAATTGCATCACTTGAATCAAAGTGCATATCCCAAACCTGGCAGTGTTAACAGGAAGTGGAAGCAGCAGCTCTTTCTGTTCCTATCTCACAGCAAAGTGTTTTTTGCAGCCTTGTGTTCATCAGCTTCCCAAACACCATTCCTAACCTGCAGAATCTGTCAATATCAGACTATAAACTGTGTCAAGAGCCATCTTTTTCTTGTATTTGTGTGCAGAGGCAACCACAGCAAGACTCTAAGATGATAAGGTATTTCAAAATACTAATAAACCCACTGGCCAATCCGGGTTCAATCTGAGACTAAAGATCAGTTTTCTCCCATGTAAGGTACCCTGTGGCATATTCAGTGATAGGCAGCAAATGACAGTTTCTTTAGGGAGTTAGAACTATGTTTTTCCAGTGTTTTAATAGCTAAGAACCAGGTGTCCTACTAGCCATTTTCTTATAGCCACTTTCTTGTAGATTCTCTCATTTCAGAGAAAAATGTACAGTGAAACTACTAACACCACACCTAACGTATTTGTTTTCTAATTTCTTTACTGTATAAAAATTGTGCATGTTTGAATCTTCCTTTAAATGTGTGTGTGTATTTCATTTTAGATGTTAATTATTGAGAAACAGCTTTTCAGCTTATGAGCATCAGGTCTGGCTGCTCTCTGGGCTCATTCCCATTACAGGAAATAATCCATGTTCTTTTGTGATGATTTCTAGCCAAGGTGGTCTGACACAAACGACAGACAAGCCAGCTCTTAATGGATGAATAGACCTTATCATAGCTGTCTGAATCCCAAGGCAATTTAATACACTTTTCTGCTTTGTATTAAGATGAATCAACTGTTCAGTCACAGATTTCATGATTTTGTGCCCATGATTTGGGGAGCTGATAGTTTCGGGTCTTCTACCATTCTGTAGTCTACCTATTTATTGTTCCTTTTACATAAACAAACTCAGTGCCAGCAGAATTCAAATCTCATTGTCTGATCAGTTTACTTACAGTGAGAAGGTTCCACATTTTCCTTCACATTCAGTCATGACAACTCTGTCCACAGAACGGCAACTCTTATAGAAGATGAAGTCTTTTCTTTGACGGACAGAACACAGTGTGGGACTATCCAGAGGTAC